CCCCCCCCCCCAGCAAAAACAGTAACTGGAAAAATTATGTTTTACTTGAAATTCTGGTCCCAGTTCTTTAGTGGGAAAGGAGGGTGCTGGAGGAGCCTGCAGGACCTCCTGGATCATGCAGGGTGCTGGCACTCCTCTTTCCACACAAGTGGAAAGAGCGCTGACGAATTGGCTTTTGCTAAGGACAGGCAGTTAAATCCACTTTGTGCCTAAAGGTGCCACAGTTACTCCTGACCGTTCTGTGTTTTAGCACTTGCACAGGGTAAAATACACCTCCATTATCTTATAACTTTTTGTGAATCCACGATAGAATAAATCTCACTAAGGTATCTGCGACTCCGTTTATGCCAAGACCACAATTAAGAATTGCTGGTATTTTTTAAGCATAGCTGTTGCTAACCACGTCCCAGCATGGCTTCCCCAAGTGTTAGACAGACTTTCTATTGATTTTCAGACAGAAGACTGCAGGATAAGGAAACTAAGCATTCAGCCTGACTTGGCTGGCACACTGATTAGGGAGAAAAATACCCTGTCCACACAGCTCACAGAAACTGTGCTTGAGCCCCGCTGGCAGCACCAGTCACATTTAGTACAGTCATATTTCCATTACACAGACTTTGCTCCAAAATTTATGTACAGTTTAATCCGATTATTTTTCTTTCCCATTTCTGCCTGACAAACTGTACTTGCTAGGCCCCTAGCTGGAAATCCATGCTAATCAACTTAAGGCACAGTAGATAAAGCAAAGTTTTTCCTCTGTGTAGTCAACAAACCACATTTCATGACTTTACTCAAGTCTCTGCTAACTAAGGTCACTGGCACCTTCTTGAAACCAGAAGCAAACAACAACAGGAAAAAGCTACGGCATGAGTGAAGGTAGAAAATGCCAACAGAGCTGCTCACACCAGGACTCGAGCCTGGGGGGTGTGGGGGAAGCCAATGGCTCTGTGCACTGTTTTATTTAAATCACTTTGTTGTTGGGTTTTATCCACCCACGCACAAATGACAGTTTTGATTTTTTTTAACCACAGAATTTTTGTTTCCTGCATCAGGCAAACTAAACATTCAGCAACTGCCAGACTATTAAGCAAATGGTATAAGCTGTATTGATTTTGCAGTGGCAACGATCTTACATTTTTACATAATACCTTTTAGGCTTAAGCGTCCCTAGGCACACTACGAGCTGCACCTATGAAAAAAGTGGTTCAAGAATGAAACGCAACAGCTGTCAGAGAGGATGTTCCACCATTACAGAGCACTCAAATGCTGGAAAAGCAAAACATTCTCTTTCTGACCAAAATCCTTAGTAGCATTTTAGACAGTTTCAAAATACAATAACCAAATCGGACATTAGATGGCCGTGTCTTACAAAAGGTGGGATACGAATTGAAACGATTACTGAAACAGTATCTTTGCCATGAACGCTACCACATATTGGGTGCAGTGAAAACTGCTGCACAAACACACGCCTAGTTAATGTATAATCGTACTGAAAGCTTTGGCTTAAAACACGGCTGTTGATAAAAAGAGTTTGTCAAGACATCAATTTTTTTCTCTTGTCAGAGAGCTAATGTTTCACACAACAGCGTTCCTTTGTAATCAAACTATGGCTCTGCTTACATACACAGGGAGGTAAATGCAGTGTCTGAATCGCCAAAATCACTGTAATTCCCACTCCTGCAACTCTCACCCAAGTTCTAATCTACAACCAACCTTCTTAACCAAAGATCAGATTCAAATCCCATCTCTACTATTGGCTTTCTGCATGCCCTCAAGCAAGATACATCACTGGTTTTGCCCTCATATTCCTGTTGCCTAAATTTGGAACAATAATTCCCAACATTTCAAAGGTTTCTTAAGGATAAACTTCATTTGGATTTGAGAGAAGCTGTATGAACACTGGAGAGGAGCACCATGGAAAGACTTTAGCAACCGAATAACAATAGCAGAAGAGAGGGGAAGGTTAGAAAAACAAACTTTGATTCTTTTCCTTCTCAAAGGAAACATCTGTGATAGTTCTTAAAACCGATCCAGGGTACGAGTTAAGGCTCAGAACTAAATCTCGCTCAAGACCTACAGAACAAGTCATGCCTTCAGCAAAGGGAGTTGCTTACCGCCTGAGCGCGTTTGTCAGTTCAGCAGTCAGTTCACTCTCGCTGTATGGTCTCAGCTCAGCTAACGTTAACGGTGTTGCGGTGCCATCACTGCATTCCTGAGAAATGAGCCAAGATTATCTAATTTGGAGTTGCTTATTATCTAATGGAAGAACTCTGAAAACCTCTAAATTCCCACCTACTTTAAAAAATGGAGGTGCAATAAACATCACAGTGTCACAGAAACATGGCAGCGTATCAATAGAGCAAGAAATGAACTATCAGATTCATACTCTGCAGATCCTTCTAAATGTCTTCTAAACCACCAGAGCACACTGATCTGCAGAATTTGACTATAGCATGCATAATTCCTGGTACCTTACACGCTTTTGACACCACACTTGAAGCAAAGCAGCACAGGACCAAAAAAATTCAGACGATGCTTTGCCAAAAACTCTTAAATAAGGATAGCCCTACCACAGTTCTGTTTTTGTTTTTAAATACACTAGTGAGGTTTCATGGGGACACAGAACTAAAAGAACAGGATTAAAGTTCTCCTAGGTATCACTATTTCTTCACGCAAACTACTAATGAAAATGCATAAAACTGTTAAATATATTTCTGTTAAATAAATTTCATATTAAGGGGAAAAACTGTTAAATAAATTTCATATTAAGGGGAAAAATCCTCATTCTCAAATCATTACAGACCGTCTGATTTGCAAAAGGAGATTATAACTACAATGCTCTAGCTGCTTCATAGAGAAATGACCTTCAGTTTATCACATTTTGGAGTGGGGGGTGGGGGTTTTGCTTAGACCTTCTATACCACTGCTATCTGCTTCCAAGGCCTGGCAACAGGCAAGACACAACATGCTCATCCACAGCAGCTTATGTGTTAGTTGGGAGGAGTACAACAAAGCCATTCACAAGAACAATAACCTCATTTTAGCCAAGGTTTAGCAGTAACCCTGAAAAGCACTCATAAATCACAGGATGGAAGGAATCATCTAATAACTGGAGGAAAAGGCATGCACATATAGAAGAAGAGCAGAATGATTAACATGCTAAACGCTGTAGGGAGGAAGGGGCACACTGGTTTTGGAGACTTGCTTTAATTCCTGACCTTGCCCAATTTGTCTTTGCTGCCGCTGCTAGTAGAGCTGAGAGACCTCATTCTCTGCTCTTTTTGCTCTTCCACTTCAGACTTCAAGTGCTCGATGTGGACGAGGTAGGCCTGTTCCTGGGCCTCTCGGGTGCTCAATTTCAATTCCAACGCCTTCTTCTCCTTCTCCAGAAGGTAAAGCTGCGCCTTCAGCTCTGCCATCTCCTCCTGTTGAAGAAACGTTATCAGCATGCTGTTTCTTGGGACTACATACCCAAAAGGAAGGCACATCTAACAAGGGATTCATTCACTCCTACTACTCAAGAGTGTTCTTTTCAGTGAAGAACACTAGCAGCATCTGGAAGGCTTTTTCACTGAATATGACTACACAGCATGTTTGTAAGCAAAAGCAACTGAAAAGTATTGCAAAGCTGAGACTCAGAGGGCTGCAATACCTTGAGACTAAGCGAGTGTCAGGAGCTGTGCCATCCCTTAATCACTCTCTCAGAAACAAACCCAGAGGCACTAGACCAGCTGAGGTGCCGCACCTAGAGTATCAAGGATCTGAGAGCGATACCACAGCTGCTGAAGCTGCGGTTCCACCTTGCCCTTCCGAGACTGTTGCCCCATAAACAGGAGTGCCTGAGCTGCTGTGAAATAGCTCCTGAAGTGCCACAGTTTCCAGGCAACTGATAAATAAGAATTAGCATCTGTTTACCTCATTACACTAGAATGAAACTTGAGGAAGTAGCAGAGCAAACACAGACCACATATTCCTGCCTCATACTGCCAGCCCCTGTGGCACAATCAATTAGCCAAAAAGGGCAACTGCGAATAGCATCATCAGATGTCCTGTTTTAGTCTCCCTCCTCAAGATGGTCAGACAATTTCAGGTCTATTACAATTGCACTAGCTTACATTCTTCCCTAAATATGATCCACAGAAGATGGAAACTGGTACTTCATTTAAAAAAAAAAAAAAGCTCAACTCTGAGAGCTAGTTCTTGTGCATAATTCTTCTGCCACTCTGATAGTTATGACAAGGCTGTCAAATATCGTAACGTAACGACAGCTATGTGGGGATAGACTTCCGCTTGAACGTCTGCTCTCTGACAGCAGCTCAGAGTTGCCTGGGCAGAATTATAAGAACAAGGCAAGAGCCCAGTGGCCGGCCTTTCAGCCCACTCTCCTGGCCTCCTGCGCATCACAGCTGACAGGATTCCTGAACCAGAGAGGTCTTTGGGTTTAACAACTCTTGAGAAAAGTTTCTTCCATGAAATGTCTAGTTATTTTCTGAACCTATGAAAACCCAGTGTCCGCAGAATACTTTGAAAAATTGTTCTAAAATTTAATCTATATTATATGTTAAAAACCCACTACCAAACAAACAAACCAACCCCCAAACCAAAGCCTCCAGAAGCATGTTCTCATTTTTGAGCTTGCCACACACTAGTTCACTTCATGGGCTCTAACACTGAGTTCACACAGCTGTTTAGCTGTTTTCTGTATTACAGTTCAAGCTCTAGACTTGTTCACTCTGTAAACATCTTTGAAAGAAAAAAGTTCCCTGTTACATGGCCAGTCTAAAAAAAAAAAAAAAAAAAAAGTGATGTTTTTAAACAGAAATCATATGCTAGGTCACAAAAATGTCAGAAGTGTCTTGTCATATCCTTCAAATACAATTCCCTTTGTACAATATCCATTGTTAACAAAGACCATATAAACAAAAATCTTGGCACATATTTAGATTAACTTTCTCCATAGAAGAGAATCCATGTTCCTACCCCAAAATTCACTCTCCAGATACAGTGCAGGCAGCGCTCACAGAGGCAGTACAGTTACAGCGATCGCAGGTAATCATTGGCTTATTCAGCAATACCAACCTCGCAAAAATGAAAGTTATAGGAGCTGAACTGGATTGTCTGGTATGCTTAAAGTATATGCACTGAGCTTAAGCCTCACTTTATAGAGCCATTAATCTACTTAGTGAAGGCTGTGAAGTAATTTGAACAGTCTTTTGGCTCTTATGTGAGGAAAAACTTTTCTTGCCGGGGTGGGGGGAAGGGGGGACTCCAAAGGTACCCTCCACCCCATCCCTTAGTCTTCTCATGTCAGGGCAATGGGGACTTGGAAGATGAGGAGCAAAGATAAAGCAGGGGAAAAGTAGAGGGATTGTCAGCCCATGTCTTATAGGGGCTCTCAGAAAAGGAACAGAAAGGAAGGGAAAGGAAAGACTGAAGTTAAAAATCGAATCTACAAGTTGAGGATGCTGGTACGGACACTTGAAGGGACAGTGGCAACTAGTAACATTTGATGGGGCAAAATGTAAGCAAGTCAGGTTTATTTATAGAGTTAATTAGCCTTTACATATGCAATAACTTTTCCGTGAAAATATGTTTTCTAAGATAGCATCCAAATTTTACTTCTATGGCAACATCAGCTTTATCTCTATATCTGCTATCTCCTCCTCCCTTTTTTTTAATTAAAGGATGCTGGTGAACCTCTCTGTAGTTTAACATACATGTTTTTTTAGAGTGCGGGCCTGAAGCACAAGGGGCAGTTACAAAACGAAGCACTGCAAGAGGAGCTGCCCACCGGCCACTCCTCCAACTGATTGCACAAGACTTGGGTGAACCATGCAGCTTCACAAGCTTCAAGCGCCTAATCTAGCAGTCATTTCAAGACAAAGCCATTGAATACTGGGGAATATTTTGTATCTGCAGTCATATTCCAATTCCCAATCTGGGCAAAAGCATGAGTGAAAGTTAAAACATCCCGGATTCAACGCAATCAGAAATGCCACAGCACGCTCAAAATTAAAATTTGTGTTTTATTCTTCTGACATGAGCACATCCAACAGCAAGGACTCTTACGTGGCAAAATGTTCTAGAAAGTCATGGAAAGGGGCCCCAAGAGGATCACAATACACAAGGTGGAATACATTATCTTTCAGAAGCAAAACAAATACCTGAGCAGATAAAGCATATATGAAAGCTCTGGCTAACTGTATTTTACCCTATACAGGTATAAGAGCATTTGTTAAATGCTTTAACAAAGGATTCTTGACATTTTCTGCAAAGAGATTGTCGTCTCAAAGCACATTATAAGCAATATTATCACCATCTGTACACAAAGGAGGAAAAATTATCAGAGAAGAAAGAGTTGAGACTTCTTATCTAGATTCTGAGTCCTCTGAAATGCAGGAAAAGGCTGCAAACCAAGAATTGTTTACACCCATCAAAAGTAATCTCCTTGCTAACTGGGGCATGACAACAACAACTGACCTCAAAGCCAGATCCACTGAATGATGACAAACAGCAGCCAAAAATATATTTGGAAACATGGTTAATTATTGCTCGAAGCACAGAATCGGATTTTACAGAAATAGTGGTGGACCTACTACGTTTTATACGCTGGATCACTAAGAGAATAAACACGGCATCATTAAACACTGGAACAGAACAAAGTACGAGGCTTCCCGACACTACCCCAAGCCATCTCTTTACGGACCAGATTCATCAATAATAAAGAATGAATGTGTAATACCATCAGCACAACACATAGATGCAAGAAGCAACATAACTCACGTGGTGACCAGTTTTTACTGGGAGTCATAAATGAAAGGTGCTGAAAGATGCAGCAGAGATTCCAACAGAGATGCATGTTTCAAGAACACGGCAGCAGGTTGTTAACACCCAAAAGCGTAGGAAATCCTTGAGTAGCCCCATCAAACCTTGCTAAGAATGGAGGGAACAGATTACAGAGATACTTGACAAAGTCCCCCACAGCACGATGAGACCATTTGCTTCAAGTAAAACAAAAATTGCCGTAAGAAAATTGAAATTCTCCTATCATCTCAGAAGAAGGCAGATATATAGGCTATTTTGTATGAGCTGCATGCTCCAAATAATAGACACGAATAATAAACTCGAAGGTGCCGGCATCCTGGTGAACTGCCCCCTTAGGTTCAGCACTGCTATAGCTTGTCAAACATACGAGCCGCTTGCAACGCGGACCTGAGCAACAACCACGGATGCTAATAAGGCAGCACGTTTTCTCAAGACCAAAGCATGCAGAGCACAGCTCTGCCTATTTGCCTTTTGAAATGCTCCACACAGAGAAGAAAGGCGGGAGTCTTCAATTTCTGCAGCAGGAGAGCAGTTGCTTTCCAGGCTTTGACAAGCATGAGACTTTTCCCTATGTCCCTTTCAGAAACCTAGACATTTTCTGAACTTATGAATTCCCACAAAGTACAACAAGTGACAACCAACGGACACTGCTGTCAGTTCCCCTGGGCCAGAAAGGACTGACACTGACTCCAGACACCTACGTAAAACGTGTGTCTATTCCAGGTTCCACTGCACACAAACTATCAAGACGTTATTTTCTTCCGGGGACAATTCCTGCAGTGCAAATCCAGTGTGCTAAGTCTAGTTAGGAGTGCAAAACACATGTCAAAAGACAGCTGATCATTTAGTGAATGAAAGGATCACCATCACTCAAAATTGTGCCAGAAATCATGATGTGCAACTATTTGGGTTCCTGTGAAGTTAAGGAAGGCACAGGCATTAATCACAGGGATAGCTCTGCAGTTTGCCCTTGCCAGTCGATTTAAAGCTAGAGGTGAACATGATGTACAAGACATTTCAGCGAAGATCTGGAGGCAAAGAAGGAGAACGGGAAGCATGATGTTTGAAATACACATCTAATAATTTGCAAGAGTCTTTCGGTATGTCTTACTTGCTTTCATTATGGGGAATATACTGCTCAGCTGGACATAATATATTCTAACAACTAATATAACTTTAAAACTTCTGAGTGTTACCAGGGAATCTTTTTCTCTGGACTGTAAATATTAAACGCTATAATGCAAAATTACGTTTGTCATCAGATGGAAAGGCAATACCACTAAGAATACAATTATCAGTACTAAGCTACCAGTTAGCCAACACTATCGGACCTAAAAAAAAAAAAAAAATCTACAGATTTAGAAGCTTTCATCTAACATATCTGCCACTAGTTCACTGTAGCAGGACTTGTCAATACACAGAAGTTAAACTTACTTAAACTGAACTAAAAGCAGACAATTTCTGAATGCAGATGCACACTTGTGTTCCCTTTAACATGTTCCCATGTTTTAGTTCACCTCTCTAAATTCACAAAGCCAATAAAGAAGCCAGGTGGAAAATGACTTCAGGTCTACACCTGGTTGGTAAAAGTCAGGCCTCAGGGAGCAGGGTATTCTCCTAAAACCGCTGCTACTGCAACTCATCACCATATAGCCTTTGCTCCTGCTCTAAACTGAGCCACACACTGGAGCAAAGTGTCTAGAACAGCCCTAGACTAGTGAGTGCTTGAGAGCACAAAGGATGATAACTTTTGACAGACCATTCTTCCTCCTAGGGCAGTATTAAAAGAAGGTGAATTTGTTCTGCTTCAGCTCACAAATATTGGAGACACACATTTGCAAGCTTGTAAGTAAAGTAATGAACTGTCTCATGGGAAGTGTTGTATCATACTTTTGGTCACCCTCAAGCAACTCAGCTGCCATATCTCTGAGAGAGAACATTTGGTTTGTCAAGGAGAACGTTCCAAGTTTAGAGCCACGGATGAAGTCTTCGCCTAATCCAAAACACACAGATCTCGTCACTGCTAATGCTTTGCCTTCTGTCACTTTCACTATTGGAAAGCAATTTTCAGCCCTTATTCGCTTCAACAAAGTAACCCTTTAACACCCGCCGATCACTATCAAAGCCTTCCGTAAGCGTGACTTTATTAGCGTGTTTTGTAGCACAGAGGGATTGTCAGCAGCACAGTCAGCCTGTTAAATATAATAAAAACAACTATAAATAAAATACCTTCATTGCCATAAGCTCCTGCATCAAGACTGCATTTTCCAGGTCTAGCCTCTGGCTGTCTCCACGAGGTTTAACGTCATAACTAAGGGGATCAATGTGGATGCTTTCTAGCTCCAGCATTGTCAGCTTCACTGCTGCCCTGTCATTCTTCAACTGCTGTATGTAATCCTTCAACCGCTGCTCATCCTCCTTTGTAAACTCTGTATCACAACTGCTTGCAGTTGAGCTGGTAGTACTGGAAAGAGAAAGCACAGCATTAAAACACACTGGGAATAAGATCTAGATTTTTGTACAAAATACTCTCCCAATACTTAGGATTTGTTTTCATCAACACAGACTTAAAGTTCACAGAAAGGACACAGGTAGCGTGGACTGGATGGTGCAATGTTCAAAAGATGCAGAGAGGTATGACAAATGCAGAGCTGGAATTTAATTCTCCAAGCCCCGTGAGAAAACCAAATCAGTGGCTACTTGTCTGCAAAGCCAGATATTTAGCAACATGTAATTGAATTAGTTTTCCTGGAACAGTGACTTGTGAAACAAGGATTTTTTTTTTTTTTTTTTTTCAGTTTGAAGAAAAACGCTACTTAAGATTTCTCAGCGATACCCTAGCAGTGAAAGCCTCTGCGTGCTGCTTTACCACTGAGTCTTCATCTTCCTTGGTAAGAAGCATCTGCTAAGAAACGAGAATCAGTCCAGCCCTTACTTATATCTGCTGATGGTAGTACCAATTATCTTGTGAATTTTTTTAATGGACACCTGTAGGAATCAACCTGAGAAAAAAATCCACTGACAGATGTCAGGCAACAGCATCTTTCAATTCATGCTAAGGTTAATTTCACAGAACACCAAAATCCCTTCAGGCGTGCAGGGGTTTAAAACAAGCCCATAATTTAGCAGTTCTTTTGATAAAAAGACTTGATGGAACATTCTTTTTCTAAGGGGATAGTTTCAAACGAATGGCTGACCATTAGCCTGCCTCAGAAATGTTTACAAAGCGATTCTACAAAGGGAAAACTAACGCCTTGGTAAGAGCGCGGGTGCCTCAGTGCTGCATCCCCACCTACACGCATGCCAGTGCTGTAGGGGGCTGAGACTGACACAGCCTTAGCGTTCCAGGGCTGAATATAGTTGCAATAACACTAAAAGGAAAATAAAATGCCCTGTTGTTTCTATAACCTCACTCAAAGCTGCCTGCTGTCTCCTGAGGACCTGTAATCAGCTGCTGGGCGAGGGATAAGTCATCCATTAACTGTGCTTGTCTGGAATGCTAGATGATCTCAGTTATCAGCAGGGGAATAAATCACTTTCTGTATCAAATTGCACTGTTGTTCAACATTTTTGGAGGAAGAAAAAGCCCCACCCGCTACATGCTGTGAGAGTCAGGATGATGTCCTAAAATATATTATGCATGTGAAAAAGGAAGAGAGCGCTTTGGTTTTTTTCTCTTCTTTGGCTATACTTCTGCCGAAGCTGCACTGATTTTAAAGTGCCTCAGATAGTTGCCAACGAGTCTTTCCACAAATTCCAAGCACAGCCTTGGAGGAGATGGAGAACTGGCAGATCTACAAAGATTTCTCAAAATCTTTCCCCCTTGTGAAATATCCCATTACAGGTTTTTACTACAGTTTTCTGTTTATTCCGTATTATCCCCTCCTCCTCTTAGGGATAATCGGTGCCATATTTACCAGAAGTGCAAACCAATCTTGGCTTTCATTTTCATCCATTTCCATCTGCAGTGAAGCTAAAAGCACTCTGTGTCTATACTAATACAGAAATTCTTCCAGGTTGAAATGTTTACTTTTTTTTCATACTTAGTCCTTCATGTCTTCAAAACACTTCATAAGCACTGCTCCACTGAGTCTAACGGCACCCTTCTGAAGTAGATACCGATAAGGAAAAACGAGGACAGACAGCGTAAGAGATACTTAATTCGATACTGAATGGTATTGCAAGTTTCCTCAGCACCCAAAGACTACAACTGTAGTTTTTTTGGATTAAATATAAAATAGCTGTTGTTGGAAAAAGGATAGCCCTTAAAGTCTACACAGGCTTCAAATTCTGGGACGCAAACAGCTCATCTTAGTTTTCACTTACAAAGAAAAGAAAATCTAGCCCTCCCTCTGGGAATGGAACCTGAGCACAAATGCTGGAAGTCTACTGTTGTCGCATACTGTTGTATTGTTGAATCTCATACTCGCTGGATATTCACAGATCTGGCCCTTAAAGATCTCCGGCTATACACGTATCCTTTTGCGGAGAGCAGTGCAAGCCAAGGAAGGCAGTCTGGGCTGCTGCCAGTGATACTCAGGCTGCTTTTACTGCAGTCCTGGCTGCCTGCCTGCCTGCCTGCAGCTGAGCTGGCTCCTCTGCTGAATTGCTAGCATGCTCTTTTTTTTTCCCCCCTCCTTTTTAATAAGGTGAGAGGAATTTAATGGAGGAGCGGTCTCAGCCAGCCAGCACAACAAGAAGGGACAAGCACATTCCCTCTCCCCCTACATTTGGTAGCAAGCCCCCACCCAGGAGCGAAGCAGCTGGCCCTCCGTTTGCCCTCCTTCCCTCTCAACTGCTGCGAGAACCAGGCTGTGCAAGGAGCCACAGAGATATGCTGCAATGTTGTTGAGCTCCCACAGCAGAGCGCCCCAGCGGCGTTCCCCCAAAAGGCCAAACACCAGGGCTTTCTACAGCCACAACGCTGGCCCGTTCCTGCTCTGGCTAAGCACCCACAGCTGGTGGGCACATCAGCCTCAGTTCCAGATACTGCTCTCCTTTCTAATGGCCATCAGGACAAAAGGAAAAGAGACTGACAAATGCATATGTAGTGTGATGCAACCATCCACAAGACACATGGAGTTGCTGCAGTAGATGTGCAGTGTTTCTCATGTCTCAAGCATGTAGGCAGGGAGGGGTCACAGTTTCATCACACTGAGGGAGGACACACCACCAGTCTGCACCTTCTCCCAGCTGCTGCATTCAGAACAAGCAAAGAGAAGCATTCTACCTACTTGTTTCATTCCTCAAGTCTGACACAATGATGTCATGCCTGGATGATGTCAAATTAATTTTTATATACAGTCTATGGAAAAATGCTGGCTGGTATAGCACATATGCAGTTTTATTGGCTGGCATATGTGCGTATGTGTGTATATAAATACATGTACACGTACATACATGTACACATACACATGCACGCACACACACCAGCCAATAAAACTGCATATGTATATATACATGCACACTCACACACATAAATATTTACATATACAATGTAGTGAAGGGAAATAAAATAGGTCTTCCTAGAGCGTCTTTGAGTGTACCACTTTTTGGATGCTACAAAATTTTATCCTTATGACCCTGCAGAGTCTTTGGTTAATGTATTAAAAAAAAATCAAGTCCATAAATAAATCTGCAATTCAGCAATGGTGCAGATAACGCAAAGCGGACAGAACTAAAATAATGTTGTCAGTATTAAATCCACACAACTTGTTTGAGCGTCTGCATGCAACCTTACACCTTGAGGAATGCATTTGATAAAAAGCATACATGGGTCCACCAGTCTTCTAGGTGAGTCTTATGGCTCGATATCTGAAACAGCACAATGCCAAAAGATAAAAGCTTTTCCACAGAAATGGAAAAATACTCCAACCAGCTAAAATAGAAACAGCAGTGTTTTTAGCTAAAATCAGAACACTTTAGTGAAACCTTGCTTCTTCCTTCTCAGGATCATTTGCTCCAGCAATGAAGCGTTCCATAGATGATATTAAGATATCTATTGCGATATTTCTAAATAACTTATTTCCACGCTTCAGCCAAGATAATCTTGCATGTCAGCCACTTATCTGAAATCTGATGGTGATTCTGACTGGGAGGTTTAGCGCTGTGTTTGATTGAGTTTAGATACTTAGTGGTTCTAAGTAATACTGAAAAGAATTCCCTTTGCATGTAAGAGGCCAGATTATCCCTCCACGAATCCAGGGAAAGGTTGAGGCCACTAGCACTGCAGTGAATACACATCATCATTTTCAGGCAGAGCTAGAATTGCAGCCCTTCTCTTTTGTCTCTTTCTTTTTCAAGGTGCAGTATAGGTTCCATAGTTAGCTTCTGTCCATTAAAATAATTATGACTTCCAACTATACCACAGAGCTGTTTTTATTTTCAAAAACGAATTGGCAACATTATTGTGTTGTTGCTGCCAGCCAAATGAGTTGAGATGCTCGCTATTATTTTTATTCACTTCACTAGTAACAACCTCTGTGATGCTCTTTCATTTCATTTCATTTCAGCTGCTCCCTTTTACAATCTTTAACCCCTTGTCACTGGTGGCTCCCCGAGCATTTGTTCTCAGTAATGTGTTCAGTGATTTGACATTCAGAAACTCATTTGAAATGCCAAAGCTAAAGATGGGTCAACCCTTCCATTATAAGCCCCTATTCTACAGGGCTTTGAACGGCAGGGAGAATTATTCATTTGTCACAAGTCTCAGGGAAGGAGAGCTTTCATCACCTCGCTCCCTCTCTACTCACTCTGGTTACAAAGAAAAAGGGTAGCAACATGTATCTGCAATCAAGAGCCTCCACACCAAAACAATAATGACAAAAGATCAGTCTTGCAGATTCAGAGTATGTTTGAGTCACATAACGTAAAAACATTTTCATTTAAGTACAGTGGTCCCCTAACGGTGGCTCACATAGCACTCTCCACTCCCCTGTTTTAGAGACCGCCAAGTTCTTTAAGACAAAGGAAAAACACGAAGCCTGCAGGAACAGCTAGAAATCCAGAGCTGGCCTTCCTATATCTGCTTGTATTGCTATTGCGGTGGCAGAGGAAAGGAAATGGAAACCACCAACATCAAAGAATCACAGAAGGCGGCAGATCTGTGGCAGTGGGAGGTCTGCCCAGAGCAGCAGGCAGCCAACTGACAGGGGAACACGCGTGAACAGACAGAGAGCTGGCAATATAGGCAGGATAACACCAAAAAGCATGAGTCCTAGACACACACAAAAAAAAAACAAACTAAAAACCAAAGGCCAGGAAAACAGGGAGAAGAGTTAAGGGAGAACCTTCAATTTTTTTACAACTAGGATAGAAGGCTTACTGATGTAAATATAGACAGGTGTTTGCCCTTCAAACCAACGCAGCTTTCCATCTATGGACTGCCGCAATGATATCGTGCGTTTGTGAGCTGAGGAGGGGGCGCTTCTCTTTTGAGACAGGGGTCACAGTAGGGAAAAGTCTGCACACGCTGCTATCACGTATCATTTGACCACAACACAAGGGAAGAAAAGAAGGTTTGTATTATACGGAGAAGCTAAAGTTTCAGAAGTATTTTTCCTGGTATGTGGATTTAGACAAAGAAAAATTACATTGCTGGTGGGGTGGAGGGTTGAATAAGGGATGATCAGATAGGGATGTCCGTTTTACAAGCTGTGTGCCCTTTGGATAAGTAAGAGCAACTTTTCTTTCTCAGGTTCCACATATATCAAAGCAGATAACAGTGGCTACCATACTCAGTACAACATCTTGCTCCATGCCAGAAAAATTTAGCCTGCAATGATAATGACTCAAGCGAACAGATTTCTCTCTAGCACACACAAGCATTTTCTCTTGCATTTTTACATGCCACAGTTTATACTGATGAAATTTGCAGTCCATCCCATTTTAAGCATACTCTGCTGAAACTTCATCTATTCAAAACAGTACATGCACACATACACATCTTGCGAGATGGCCGCCAGAAGTTCACTGTAAACACCAAGCACGAGGGACAATGCTCCTCACCAAACACACGCACTTCCCTCATCCTCCCCCTTCACAAAACGAAAATGATGGTCAACAAATGAAGGACTGTCGAGACTCTATTCCTACCAAATACTTTTCAAGGAAAGGCTGAAAACCCCAAACCAACCCAAAACCCAGAAAAAACCTCAAACATTTCCCACATTCAATCCTGGCAACCAACTAAGCTATTTTAGAGAAAAATAAATTATGCATCGACTGAGTACCAGACAGCTCATAAGAAAAAAAAAACACTGAGGTAGCTATAAAACTACTAAAAACGACCCTTTTAAATAGAAGAAGGGTAAACAAGCTCAGCCTAGCTAGAGGTGTGGCCATGCATGGCTGCTTACACGTTCATATGTAGGTGCAGAAACGGCCTAAGTGCGCACACACACTAAGGCAAGTCAAGTGTGCAAAACAGCTCTGGATAACTCTTCTCCTAGGCCAGTCAATACTTTTGGTACCATGACCGACCGATGTGTTACTAGCTCAGATTGTATCACATTCATTTCTGAACAAAAATACAGCTTTCTGGGACTGCTAGTGGAGCATTAAAACTTGTTTGAAAAAAAATATTTAAATTTATTTCACATTTGAACCTCATTCACTTGGACTACCTTTTTTCCTGATTTTTAGCTACTCCATGCTAGTCGTCAAGGCAGGAAATAAGATCTTTTGGAGGAGATGGTGGCAAGAAGAGGAAATGATGAAGTACTAAAATAAACTTCTAAAAGTGTCAAAAATGACAGCATTTGAATAAAGAACTGGCCCAAAGACAGAATTAAAACAAAGTTTTAGAGTGAATCTGAGAAACCAAAATAAATTTTACACAGAAAAATGTTCATCTATATTTATCCAGGATGCTTGCCAATTCTGTATCTACACAGATTCACTGCGCAGAGTACAACTACACTGCAGGCAGGCAAAGACTCAAACTGAAGCTGCTGGCAGATGTATTTGAACTGGAACACTTCTGCAATAATAGCTGATTTAAGATTCATTATTTTATAGGTCTTCAGGAATTACTGCAATATCCAGCCCTTTCCTGAAAGAACCCACTCTATCCTTCATGATGCGTGTTTGCCATTCCATTGCAAAAACAATAGCATGGGAAGGAAGAATTTTGAGGGGGGCAAAGGGAAAGGAGAAAAGAGAGGAAATGGTTCAAAATGAAATATATGGTGGATTTTTGACGTTTAGAAAACAATCATTGAACACTCCAAAAACCCAGTGGACGCACACTTACGGTCTCCGGTCCTCTGTAGATCTGTGCTGCCCTTATAGAATAGACGTGAACAAGAATTACATGCTCCAAGTTTCAGTGAGACAGCAAGAGAGTCACTGGGGTAAAACAAACATAATGGTTTTGCCCTTTACAAGGAAGATCAAAGTTCAGAATCACCCGCTTGCAACAAATCTATACAAGATCCTTCTTGGCTGGAGTTGCTCAAAGTCTAAAGACAATTAGACCACTGAGGCATGGTGACTTAGAAAAAGTAATCAAGAGCGCTCAGCAGCCTGAGGTGAGGAAGGTAGTTCAGCAGATGGAATGCAACATAACCTTCAGTCCGAAATCAAACGCTTGGGGATTAGGAAACCAAATAAGTTGCAGTTACCTCGTGTGGCTGTTGGATGACAGGCTTTCCCAGGGCTGCACACTACAGCCAGTGATTGCATAGGCTCCCCCGCAGCTCCCATCCAGTTTCATCAGCAAGGCTTTTGCTGCATTCTCAGCTGTCTTCCTGCAGTCATGAGCTCTCTTAAGCATCTGGGTAATGTTTTCATCACCTGTTTGGTCCCCTAGTTTGCAAGCAAACAATCTGTTTCAGAGTTTTGAGGAGGGTGATAAAAATGAAGGCAAGAACAGAGACGCTTCCGTGCGCTTTCAAGTTTATACTAAGATGATGATGATAAATTATCAGTTTGTGACGTAAAAGCAGCTTCACTGCTGCGTGAGCATCAGTGATAACTGGACTTCTGGCCACAACGCATAGCCCTCCCAGCCACAAGACCCAGGTATTTGTCTTAAGTCGTGTTTTACCTTAACGAGCTTGTCTGTTTGTAATGATGTGCACTGCAGGTTAGGATTAGTCGAAGATGCTCAAGATAACAACACACTAGGAAAGTGCCAACCTAATTTACAACTCTTACTTCCATCAGTCCAGTGCTGTTTTACAGTGTGGTCACTTGCAGGGCCCTTGCTCACAAACACCTTCACCTCAACCCTAACAGTCTGCCAGAACACCCTCTTACTGGTTACCTTTCCATCTCAAGGACAGCTTTGCTGCTCAGAAGCAACAGCTGAACTTCCAGAGTTTACAGTCCTGCATACTAAAACAGCATTGGTCTTCATTAATTTGCTGTAACTTGCAGAGATTCTGCAGGGACTGTGCAGCTACTGAGCCATCCCTTCAGCAGAGGCAAGGCAGAAAACACCGCAGTTGCCATTCCTGTAATTCTGACTCCAGCTGGAGTAAGACACAGTAAGCAAGCACAGCACAGTAAGACACGCTAGCACTGAAAGGCAGAACAAAGCTACAGCAAAGTAAGACACGCTAGCGGCTACACTGAAAGGCAGAACAAAGCTACAGCATATTCATAGTTCACTAAATACAATGAAAAGGTGTCAGGAAGCATAAACGCATGACAGTTTGCTCTATGCAAGACTTTCATTTAATCCTTATGCAAATCAAAGACCAATTAGCCATACTTTGCACTTGCTAAGTAAACTGCGTGCATTAGAACTAATGTTCACGCAGAAGAAAGGAAGTGAGAATATTCTATTAAGAGCAGCGGGCTGTGCTCAGCTCCAGGTGATGCAGAAGCAATTCCCAGGCATTTTCCAATGACAGATGTTGGTGCAAAACTTGACTATATTCAAACCAAAAATCTGCTATTTTATCTAGGTGTTCTAATCAAATTTCACCATGAAGTAGAAGTGTGTAAACCAAACATCAACTTCCCCCAAAGTTATGTAACAGGAAGTTGGCACCATTTCTATCACAGGGCTGTAACTGATAATACTGTAATTAAGAGCTGTTGACAGATACCCCTATAAAATTAAATTACACTCTCTCTTTCATAAAATGCATGTGGGATAAAGTCCTGCCCGTATCCAATATGTTCTCCCTTTCTAAGATTTCTTTCTGTCACCTGTGTAAGGAGAAAATCCAAGACTACACATTTTTGCTAGCTACCAATGTCTTACAGCAGCGAAAGCACCACAGCACACTGTGGAAAGGAAGGACTAGACTCTGGAAGAAAAGTAGATGAAAAACCCAAAACATCCACTCTGACATTTACTCCATGGTCTGCTTGCATAGGCTAACTCATGTACACAAAGGCTTGCTCCTAGCACTAGAAAAGATGCAAAATAAGCTGCATGGTAACAGCACAGTGACTGTGGACTGAGTGCATCCAGCCTCCTGAAAACAAGAGGCTGAACCCATCAGCCTTGTGGCTCTGATGCCAGATGGTCATTTGGTCTCTAAAAGCTTTCAGTTTACATTTCGGTGATTCCCGAGAAGCTAGCGCTATAAATTACTGTCTCAACCAGGCAGTTACTAAATCTCAGCACAGCATGAAAAGCTATGCTTTCCTTTCCAAAGGTTTCCCCACTTCCTAACCCAAGATTACTACTGCTACCTTCTCCTATCAGTAAGGAGGACGAGATTATAAAAACGAGACTTATGTTCATCGTGTAAACATGTCATTCCACTAGTAAAATGGAGCCAGCAGTAATGTGAAGTTCCACACACTTTAGAAATATACCTATAGAAGGGGGCTTATTCTATTACTTGGAGAACATATTCAAAAAACTTAGTCACAAAATTAACTACCCACAAAATAAAATAAGCCCAGAACACAGAGGCTGATATCCCAGACAACATAGTAAAACATCAGCTAGAAAGTTTAAAAATTCCAGGGCAAAGTTAAAAGGTGGGGTGAAAAACTAGAGCTGCTTTCCTCTTTTTTTTTTTTTTTTGGCAATCACTGAATGATAGCTTTGCATTGTTTTGATCCCAGCTTCTAATAGACTACACTTAATTTTTGTGGGTGAATGTTGCCAGTACAAATACAATCTGTACTTGCAGTTACCACAGCAGTACAGTCCTAAGCCTTACATTGCTCATGAGTATTGTTTAACCATTCCACTCTGTACAGGCAAATCCCTGTAGCAGCCTCACCACAGCTAGAACAGACATCCCCTGTAATGGTATACACAGGTTAATTTAAGTTGCTGGTAAATTTATGAGCTATTTCCAGTCTCTCCCTCCCCTCCCCCTTCTAGTGTGCAAAAATGATTCCCTTATTCGGTTGGAAACAAAACAGAACGCAAGGAGCGTTCTTAAGTGGCGGGTCATAAGATGATTCACTGTTGCAACTAACTCTTATGAATGCTAATAGACGGGCAGAATCAAATCTAAATAAAGTGATTCACTGACATCTTACCCACAGAACCAACACCTGCAGCTCTGAATTGCCCAAGAATGAGACTCTGCTCGCTTTCTGCCAATGCCAACAGCAGCTCATACGCTTCTATGCACTGTTCACTAAAAGAGAAAGCAAATCACAGAAGACAAAAATCACACAACAATATTTGCAATTTAGACTGGAAAAATATCTGCAATCAGCAACAAAAAAAAGAGGTAGCTGATGAACTACATGATTCTCTACTGCTTGTCTGGTAATAGGGATATTAAATGACATCACATACATAGCTTCTACCACAAGCATTCAACTGTCCTTCCTTCCATATGATGATCTCAGTTGGCCTCAACTAATGTAACAGCGAAAAACAAGAGAGGGGGAAAAATCTGATGTGAGGTGAGCTCCAGAAGCATTGGTGAAATGGTCAGTAATATGACTGATGGTAAACGTTATTTCTTGGAGAAGGCTCTCTTCAGGCCTTCTTACTGTGCCAAGAAAACTTAGAAAAATACTTGTTTCTCTGTCCTGGCTGCAAGATTTTCCTCCATATAAGACAACAACTACTAAACATAGTTGTGAGTTACTCGCTCGTGTTACATGCTAATATACTTTTAACAGTATATATGTTACCACACCTATTTGTAATTTACATTTCCTTATAATTTGCTCAAGGCTGATGTAACAGAATACATTCCTTAAAAGGCACACAA